GCTCTCTCATTCTATAATACAAATTCGTTAGGAGTATTATTGCCTTATTTAATAGACCTAATCAAAAATCTAGAAGCAATAACCCACCCAATTCCCTGTTTTAATAAACTAGTGTCAGATGCTATGGGGTGCGTGTGTGTGTATATATAATGGAAGTTTTGTTAAGATACGTTTAAAATGCAACCTACTCCATGAAAAACATGCTCTATAGAAAAAAGTGATGTTTAACTATTGGACTGACTTCTCTTTGAGAAGTATGAGTTTGATATTATTGGCCCACTTAGCTCACAACTATGTGCTAGAGATTGTACTTTTTATAATTAATTAAGTACTCACACACAAAAACAACGATATCCAAAGAAAAACAATGAATCACAATAAATAATAAAAAAAACAATCACAAGATATACGTGTTTCACCCAAAACTTAAGATTACGTCCACGAGAGCACTGAATAAATTCCACCGTGACAAAAAAAAAAAATGAAGGATTATAATGAATTTCCTCTCAATCGCACTTGTGTAGACACAAATCAATTCAATCATTCACACACTCTCTCCCTTAAAATCTTATTAAAGTTGGTATTAATAGTCTTAGATAAAGAAACACATTGACCCACAATTCTTGCATTTTTGGAGAGTTAGAAACCAACTTGGAAACAATCCACAGACCTTTCAGTCCTTCCCAAGCAAGATTGTGCCGATTGCAAAAAAAACGTAACCAATCCATTTTAACAAAACACTGTTCTGGAACCCATGTGGTACCGGTTCAGAAAAACATAATCGATCCATTTTGCCAGTAGCCAAAATAACTTCGTAATGCCACAATTGGAACCGGGTCCAGATTACTGGACCGGTTCATTTTGATCAGTAGTCAAAATTTAAGTCACATAAAACAGGAGCGAGAACGGGAGCGTGAGCATGAGAGAGGTAAAATTAAGTCAAGAATATCAACGGACCAGTGGTCAACGATACCAAGTCCCTACTTCTCAAAGAGAGGTAAAGAGTTCAAGCCTCAATAAAGGCATAAGTGTGTGAGTACCAACTAAAAAAAAAAATTTATGAGCAGTGAGAATTTGAGCGAAAGCGCATGCGGAGCGTAAGAACGCTTGAAGAGTAAAAGTAATATTTATTAAGAAAGATTGTGTGACTTACACTAAAACATTGTGAATCTTCTCAAATTGTAGCCTAAGTGAGTACGTTTCTACATAAATAATCCCACATACTCCAAAACGTCTCACCCTCTCATCTTTTTTCATATAACAAGGCAACTAAAATAGTATAAATGCCCCATTATTTAAAGGTTTTAAATTACCCAAAAAAAAAACGAAATAGTATAAATACACCACTTAGTTGGTGCACATTGAGAACACAATGATGTTAGTCATGGTTGGAGAAGCAAGCCTTTTAATCTCATTTTTACTAAATTAACATCCCATACCACCTCCTTGGCCAATGATTATTGGCAGTAATTGTTTTTTGCCAAATATTTTACTTTAGGGTATTAATTTAAAAGAACTTTCACGACCTACATTGTTAGTAATTCTTTTTTGCCAAATATTTTACTCTAGGGTATTAATTTAAAAGAACTTTCACTACCTAAAATGTTGTTGGTCATGTCTGAGTATGTTAATTAAATGTTCTTGGAAAATTTAGGAGATGGTTCTTATAATCTCTATAAATGTTGAAAAGGAAATTGTGATAAAAAATAGTTGTTAAAGTTAATTGGACTAGATATTCGGTGATTTGCAGATGATTGTAAAAAATTTCCCCCTGTAAAGCCACCACTCAACTCCAACTCTATATCAGAACAACAGTCAGGTTTTGCCAAGAATAAGCGCAAGCACTTCCAACGACGCGATAGTCGTCCCGCTCCAAGAGCCGCAAGAACCCTATAGCCAGCACTGCCTAAACGGAGTGATTGTCGAAAAAAAATGTATATATGTCTCTACAAATTTTCACATTTTGGAATAGAGAGAGTTCATTAGGCATTCAAGTAATTTATTTAATATTTATTTGTTCTTTTTAATACCCTATCCCTTTTACTCTGTAATTAGCCGACTTCAAAACTTCATTTTCCAATTTGCATAGCACCTGACATTGAGAATGGTTGAGGAACCGTTAGGCCCCTTTATCAAGCGTTAAAGCTGGGCAATCTAAATCAGTCCACCCAAAACGGATCAACATGCTTGGGGCCAATTAATCCAATTATTGCCTCTTTTTCTTTTTAAAGGTAAATAATTTGGCCATCCAAACACAGTGTCCACGAAGCTTCATTTACATAGCGTAAGCGGACAACAAGCATCAAGTGGGTCCAATCCCCCAAATGCGTGTTCAAATAGATAAGAACATTTGACCAACGCCAAACACAGTCTAATCCTTTTTAAAATTCAATGGCATAAAAATATTCCACAAAGCCCCTGGTTTTGTGCCATGTTTATCTTTAGACTTGACTTATACGTGTCCGTGTGCGTGTGTGTATACATATATCTATCTACTTAGTGTGTGTGTGTGTGTATATATATATATATAGACCAACTACCAACATAAACCAAAGTCTACCAAAGTTCTCTCTGTATTGTATCTGTCATGGTTCTCTTACTTGAAAAACTTGGCTTTACTCACAAATCCTCCACCAAAATGAACAATCACCACCACCATTCCCAACCATTAATGGCCTATTTACAAGCTTTTCAGTCCCATGTATCAAACCATTGGAACCAGCTCTCATCAAACTCGCAACCCAATTCAGATTTCTTGTCCTTGACACATATCAAGCAGTGTTTGGAGCTCATTTTCATTGTCAACAAGGCCTTTGCAAAGCTAGTGATGGACATAGACTACCCGATGAGCAAGTGGGATGTCCCCTTCATTGATGAGTATCTCAACCACACCTTGGAATTGCTCGAGCTTCTGAACTCGTTGAGTTCCTCCGTTTCCCACCTCTCCCAAGCTCGGCTTTCGCTCTCTCACGCGTTAGGGCTCGTTGAGAACTCGCCTTCGTTAGCCATGGAGCATCTGAAGCCGGTGATCGTGTCAAAGAGTTGCAGCAATTGCTTCAGAGAAGAAAAGCAATTGCTTCAGAGCAAGGAAGAGAGTACAAAAGAGATGCCTTGTTATGGGAAAGTATGGGTTCTCCAACAAGCTTTGATGGTTATGAAGAGTACTGGCTTTTCGGGTTTTTGGTCCGAGTTGACAGTGGAGAAAAGGGGTGTTCAGAAAGAGGTGAAAGAGGTGAATGATGCAGTGGCTTGCCTTGTTTCAGCTATGGCGACGAAGAAAGGCGTCGACGCAGCGTCAAATGAGTTGCAGAGAAGATTGGAGGTGTTTGAGAAGGTCTTGGATGGTGTTGGGAAGTGCTCAAATCATCTGTTCTCGGAGGTTTTGGCTGCAAGAAATGAGTTGCTTGATAACCTTAGACAACAGAAGTAGTGGAAACAAAGAATTGAAGATATTGTGTATTTTGTGTATAGGTTGTATTGATCTTGCTGTAATTGAGTAAATATTTATGTATTTTAGGACATTTGACCAAACTTGTATTAGAAAAATAAAAATACAACAAGTGAAAAAACTTGTCATTTATTCATTGATCCATTTACATGGTACAGTGCAGCTTTTTAAATGACCTTAAAGATTATAAAAGATAATGAAGGAACCTTTATAAATCAGTGTTAAGTTGGAATATGTTACCATTAGAAAATGAGGACTTCTAGGACAAAAACATGGGAAAGAGTACATATATATATCTATATATGTATGTACACACACACACAAAACACATATAATAACACTATTAATTGATTAGAAAATGGACACTAGTAGAAATAAGAATTGAGAACAAATGAGAGATTGGCCGAGGTCATGCCATGTGAGGGATTCAGCCACAAGGGGCCAAAAAAAAACTGTGCGAGTAATTTACCTAACTAAAAAACTAACAAAACAAAAAAAAGCAAACAATGGGCTATTAGTACAATAACATAACCTCTCCTCTCTCAAATGGAAGGTGAGGGGCTCAAGTCCCGTAGTGGGCAACTGTGAAATGTGTGTCTACTTGTTACTTTTCGAATAATAAAGCAAACACACTCTTTTTGCCCACACCAAGACTCGAATCTCTTCTCTCCTCTTTGAAGAAAGGGGGATTATACCGCTAAGCCAAAGACCCTTTGGTGAGTACTTACTACTTAACTAAACAAAAAAAAGTAAAAAATTATAATCATTCCCACACAGTCACAAAATTTCAGTGTTCCCATCTTGGTAACCAAGCAAAACATCAAAAGGGTAAAAAGGTTACCAATTAAATAACACAGAATAAATATCACCGCAACACAGATATAAAAAAGATACAGTAAATTACATACGACCATGTTTCAGCAGAAAACAGAATCGAAATGTGCAATTTCTTTTTCTATTTTCTGTTTTTCACATACAGCATTCTGCTCCTAGAATACAACAATCTTTACCTGCATTTAGACCATCTCCAACTCATCTAAAGATCATGAACCTGTTGTTACCAAATGATGCTTTAACAAAAACTGCCAAACTAAAATCAATTATTTCAAATTCATTTTGGTTCACTAGTTTCTAATGCAAAGCGAAACCAGCAAGAAAAAAGATCACAGTCAAGCCCATCAGACTTCGAGTTGCTGGTTTGATGCTAGATGATTGAAACATAGCAAATCATTACATTCAAACATAATCTAGCAGGAAACAAGAAAGAGCAAATTGCAGCATATATACATAAATTATATATTCAAAATAAATGTTGTCTAAATCGGATTATTGCAGGAAGTTTAAAAACATTCAAAATTCAAGAGGATATGAACCCAGGAGAGCCAAGTTCTGATAAGTTTCCATTGCAGCATAATTCCAAGGACTATGACTCTCTTACCTCTTCTGTGAAGATCTTAAGCAACTCCAAACAGTTGCTCAAAAACTGGACATGGCATTTACCTTAACGTTACAAATACAAATGAGCATGCATGACTAAACTACTCTAAGCATCGACACAAATACAACATGAAATTTGTTTATTAGTTTTGTTGATGAATCAGTTTATACACTACAACACCGATTGTAGGTGGAGATTATTTTGGCTAAAATTTTGAATTTTTCTATCGAGGTTCATTTATTCGTTCTATCGTGTTCAAATCCTAAAGCTAACCTACCATGAAGAGCATGAAAAAGTCTTCTCCAAGCACTAGTATCATCAAGGATTCCTAAGGATTAGTTGCGTTGTACGAGCAATAATCATACAAATAATATTAGCGAATTTTCATGCTCAAGAGACAGAAACCAACGTCCAGCATCCCAGATCTTCCATTAAGTTACTTCTATAAAACATCAGCCCTCAATGGAAAGGTCGGTATGTAGTTTAGGTCTGTTTCCTCCATCTTTCTACAGATGTATATAAAGTGAGAATCTGGATCTTCTATTACAAAATCTGCAGGAAGTAGGCCCTTCTCCGTGGTAGGAATAGGTTCCAAGTATGATTTTACAGATGAAGTAGAACCTGGTGGCCTTTGAAATCCTGGTCTGGCTGCAAAATGGAGTGGGATGACAATCTAAAACATCAGTAGATAAGGCAAGGAGCATCATAACAAGTGCATAAACTATAGAGGGCCGTGACAAGGTTATAGCATCCAAACTCTTATAGAGCAATATGACAGTAGTAACCCCAAGATATGTTTTCAGATACCGCTATACAATTACAACCAGTTATGCTCAATCGCAAAACACAAAAATAATGGTTTATCAACTTTGCACAAAAACAAGCATTGTTTTCAACATGCCAAGGGGTGGCAATATGCACCCAAAAAAAATAAATACATTTAAGAACAAGCAGAGCAATATTTGCTCGTACAATCATTACAAGACCATAAGAATGAATATTTCACACATCAGTTCAAAAACTCAAAATAAAAGTAAAATCAATACTCATGTTAAGCTTTACACATATCTTTGGACTTCATCCCAGTGTATGTCATTTAGGTTGTTCACTTGCTCGTCGACAGAGGTTGATCTCACTCCAAGTTTAGAGATAATTAGCACTTTTTTTTTTCTCATTGAGAATAGATATATTAATTCAAATGTTAACCTAGAAAGTGGCGTACCACAAAAAAAAAGAGAGAGAAAAAGAGAAAAAGACAACCTTGAATTCGTGCACATCGTCAAGGTCTCTGCAAAAAACCAACTAGATTTCTGCATCAGATGATGAGCCCGTGCAAAAACTGTGTTATTGGTGCCCGATAGGTAGGCTATTCTACTAAAATCATATGGGTGCAGAGTGCAAAGTAACATGAAGATGGAATAAAATAAAATTAAAATAAAAAATGGTTTTTGCTATGGAAAATTTAGTGCTAAATACATGAAAGAGGAAGAAGGGGAAGATACGTTCACCGTTTTTTTTTTTTTGAGGCATGTTCTAGCACCGCCTAGATTTAAAGACTGGTGTCATTAATCGAGGCAGTAATGTAAATGCATTTGATGTCCAAATCTACTCTACTATTGGGCTATTGAAATTCCCAATGAGCCACATCCTCAACAACAAAAGGCAGCATGGACCAATAGCAATTCTAGTCCATTTGTAGTAATGTGACTTCAAAAGGAACTTCATTAAGTTTAGATTCAAAAGTCTCATTTTCATTTAAAGATTCAATCTTTATACAATAAAACACACTAGTGACTTCAAAGGTACCTTAATTAAGGTATTTTCATTCAAATATTCAATCTTTACACATTAAAACACTCTTGTCCTATGTTACACTCGGGTATGTGTGTCAGACACGGGTATGTATCCATGCGTCAAACGTGTCAAATCTCCAAGTAGGACATATGGACACGGGTACATATTCATTTTATTAATTATTTTATTTTATTTTCTAGAGTAAAGTAATGTTTTTATCTAATATAATGTTCAATATAGGCATTTAACTTATTTTAAAGTATAATATAATGTAATTGAATGATTGGACATGTTTTTTAAATACATGTCTAACCAAAAGTGTCAAACACATATCCCGTACCCATGTCCGAGGGAGGCGTCCGACACGAGTACTTCACTACTTTTGAAGAGTCCATGTAACAAAGCTCTTGTGACTTCAAAGGGAACTCCATTAAATTTATATTCAAAAGTCTCAGTCATTTAAAGATTCAATCTTTATACATTCTAGTCCATTTGTAGTAATTAATCAATGCTTAGATTCTATTTCTTGTGGTCTTTATAGTGATGTAATTTAAACAGACAGCAGACCTTGTTTATCCTTGGTTATATAATAGAAACATGTTCAACAAGTTGGAAATTATCTTTAAAGCTGTGAGTAAAGAAATGACATAAAAAAATCAAGGGGTAAACTGAAAGAAATACACTAAGAAGTAGAAAGAGTCATTTCCTATCCTTCTAATAAGAAGCTTGAACTTGAAAGTTAGAAACTGATGCCAAATAGGCATTGTAACAAAAGAAGTAAATAAATTTGCGACTAGTACCAAAAGGAGCTGTTGGGACTCTTGGAAACTTCCTAGTCTTGTTCATTATGGTAACACACGAAAGATACCTCAAGAACCCGACGCTTCTTTAAATAGTTAGCTTATATAGAAATTCATACGTTGATGAGCTTCTCCAATTATTATGAGGAGTGAGGCTCTACAATAAGAAACTTAGAACTCCTAACTACCATGAACATTCTAGGTCCAACAAGACCACAAATAATGACCTAGTAACATTACTCACAAAAATAAGACCGATGGAGTAGCATTATGTCCTATTTTCAACAAATCTTGAAATTACTACTACTACTAAGCAAATAAAACATAAAAAAATAAAAACCACACCAACGACATATTTAAACTAAAAATGAATCAAGTTGGACTTCAATCTAAAGCTTGATTACAGAATACCTAAGGAATGACCCACATGTAACTTTTCTTTCCTTGACAAGAAAATCACAGACCCATCTGCTCCTATAGGGACTTGAACCTGACATTCCACTTTGGGAGATAGTGGAGATACCACTTTGGGCCCAATTGGCATTGCTATTGTAATGGGAAATGTGCAAATCAATAGAGCAGTCACAAATTGCAGCTAGTTAAAAGCATGTTAGATGTTTGGTAATACAATATATAAGGTACTTTTCACCATTAAAGCAATTTTTAATTTGTTTGGTAAAAATATTGTTTAAAGCACTTCTATTACTAATTTTAAAATAATGCCCTTGAATGGAGTGTATATTTGGTACTAGTAGGACTTTGTAAAAGAAGGGATAAAATTATCCTTATAAAAAATAAAAAGTCAAGGAAAAACAAATACCAAAAATATAGAACTTTAATTCAAAAAACGAAGTTTAAAAATTAGAAATTTCAGCTTCATTTAAAAGCTCTAGTGAGCTAAAATCACTACCATTTAGACATGCTTTTTTTGGTTACCAAACACATTTAAAAAAAGCACATTAAAATCTCTACCATTTAGACTGGAAAATGAAAAACCTTAAACATTCTTTTGAAAAAAGTGTTTTTTAATTGTTACACCATCTCATCCAGATAAAGCTACAGGTCCAGATGGGAGCACAGAAACCACAAGTCTTAGAGCTGTGAATGTTCTGGTCGGTCTGGTAGCCCAAATCCAGGAGCCCCCCTCGTTCAATTACTTGCTTATCTATGAACTTCTCTCGAATGAAGTGCAAGCTGAACCAATGGCAGGGCTAGGAATATCAATGTGTCCATTAAACAAAGGAACAACACTTCTCACTTCCAAAGTTCTAACACACCCCCGGCATCTGATCGATATATCCTAGGAAAAGAAAACTTCTCAGGTCTAGGAAGCAGAAAAAAAACCCAATATTCAAACTCTGGGCAAAGGGGCTAATCTGATTTGATCACTAGTGGCGCAGTTCATGCATAAGTCCTATCAGTTGAATGGGACTGCCGCTAAACGACTTCTTCGCTACCGCAAAGGAACTATTCATCATGGTCTCTTTCTCAAAGGTCATGTACCATTAGACAAATGGCCAAAATATTGACCGGTGTTTAAGGCTGAAACATGACATCCAAGACCTTATTGAGGTTCAGGGAAAATTGAGCCACCAAGGGCAACCTGTTACCCATCCCAATGTCACAACCAATCCCCTAACCACTCATGTTGTACCTCCTCCTGCTAGTATAAACATGATCTTGTCTTTTCTTAGAATGGAAAATGTGCAGATTGCTCATAGCCAATGGGATAAATGTTCTAATGGGTGGATTTTGAAAGGTATTGCTGCTTTGATCTGTTGGCAGATCTGGAAGCTCTGAATGACTGGATTTTTCAGAAGCTCTGCTGGAATTTTGTGGATATTGTCTATAATACAACAGGATTTGGTGCAAGGGCATTGCCTGTATTCTTTGATCTCTTTTGGCCTATACCCTTGGGCCTTTGCTTTTGCATTTAGATTTATAGGTATAGCTTATATAATTATCTTGGTCAGACATATTTTGCTAAACTTCTTTGCAAAATCTATTCTTACTCCGTTGCCCTTATCATGGTTTTAAAATTCACACAACTCAGCCAAGTCGCATTGGGCTCGGCCACAATTGCGACCGAGTTGGCACAAGATCTTGGTGAAATCGAAAATCATTACCGACTCAAAAGAAGTAGATGAAATTACAAATACATGTGATAATTATATTACTGAACTACAAATACATGTGTATTATACATACTATACTTTGTGTTGAGATTCTTTCATGGTAGAAGATGAAAAGAAGTAATAGAGAGTGGGAGAGAGAGAGAGAGAGTTGAGAAATCATATATGTTCTCTCAACCGAGAACATTGATATTATACACATGTATACACACAACACAAAAGAGTTGCTTATTTACCAAAAGAACCGAACTCTATGACTAATTATGCTATATAACCAACACTTTATATTATACCAATATTACTCTACATTTATCTATTTCTCATAAAAAAAAAGTATATAACAAAGTAAATTTGAAAAATCAAAAAAAATAAAAAAATTCTTAAAATTGATAAGCAAAAAATTAGAAAATCATAATTAAGTGAATACTTGATTCTACACATTTTTTCGGTAGGAAATTATGCACGCACACATTTGTTCAATTGAAGACTCACACCCTTGACCTTCCTTTTGGAAGGAGAGGGTAATAGCACTTGGACTAAGCCCTTGGTGGTGATACTACAGATGATTTTAGTCTATATAAATATTTTTTGATAAAAGATAAATAAATAATGAATTAAAAATCGGAAAAGTTGCAAATATATTCAATAGAATCTGTTAAACAAATTTAGTAAACTTTTACTATTGACAGAACCTTAAAATTAATTTATAAGCTATCACTTGTATCAAAAAAACATTCATATATTAAATAAAATAATTTTAAAATCAATAAAGAAAAAGGTTTTGTTGAATTCTATAGTTAAAATTTGAGATGCATTCTGGCTTGCTTTCAGGCAGTGTCCGGGCTAAAGGTTAACGTGGCCAAGAGTGTGTTTGTTCCGGCCGGGAATGTTCAGGACATCTCTTCTCTAGCTGCAGTTCTTGGGTGTAGGGTGAGTTCCTTTCCTATCCCTTATTTGGGATTGCCCCTAGGGGTTTCTTCGAGATTAGCGGGGAGCTGGGATTCTGTGATTGATAGGTATGCAAAGAGGTTGGCAGGTTGGAAGAAGCAATATTTCTCAAAGGGGGGTAAAGTTACTCTTATCAAGAGCACTTTATCAAGCCTTCCCACTTATTTTCTTTCTATGTTCCAAATTCTATGCTCCGTTGCTGATAGAATTGAACAAAGTCACAGGAATTTCCTTTGGGAAGGAAGGGGAGAAGAGTTCAAGTATCACCTTGTTAGATGGGAGCAAGTTTGCAAGCTTATAAATCTGGGGGGTCTTGGTATTAGACGATTGATTCCTTTTAATCAAGCTCTTCTGGGCAAATGGTTGTGGAGATATGGGAAAGAAAGACACCGCCCTTTGCGTAGATTAGTTTCCTACAGGTATGGGGATGATGTTAGCGGATGGACTACACGTCCGGTTTCTATTGCGGGAGGAGTTGGGGCTTGGAAATTCATTCGGAAAGGATGGGATGCCTTTTCTTCTCATGCTAGATTCAGAGTTCGTGATGGTAGTTGCGTTCGTTTTTGGGAAGATCTTTGGTGTGGGAATCAGCCTTTATGTTGTACATTTCCCAGATTATATAGTATTGCAGTTGATAAATATGCCATCGTAGCTAACTGTTATCAGCTTGATAATAGTGGAATTACGTAGAATGTTCTTTTTCGGCGTTCTTTTCAGGATTGGGAGTTAGAAGATGTGAGCATTTTCTTAGATCAATTGTATCGGCAGGAAGGAATTGGCAGGGGTTATGACAACTTGATTTGGATTCCCTCTTCTCATGGTCGTTTTGAAGTAAGGTCTTTGTTCTTATGTTTGTCTAATTTTGCACCCTATGATTTTCTATGGAAGACTATATGGCGCTCTATGGCTCCTACTAGGGTGGCTTTTTTTGTATGGACCACCGTTTGGGGTAAGATTCTGACGATCGATAATTTGAGGAAAAGGGTAAATTATTTTGTTAATTGGTGTTGCATATGTAAGCAGGATGGGGAGTCAGTCGATCATCTCCTAATGCATTGTTCTGTAGCGCACGACTGCTGGAATCTTATTCTTGGGCTATTTGGCATGTATTGGGTAATGCCACGTTCTACTAAGGAGCTGATTCATGCTTGGAGAGGTCGTGTGAGTAGGAGTGTTCGTGACTATTGGAGATTTGTACCACATTGTATTTGGTGGTGCATTTGAGAGAAATAGTAGAATGTTTGAAGGAAAGGAGTCGTCTACAGCGACACTGAAACTTTTTATTATTCGTTCTCTCTTCAGTTATGTGAACAGAAGTTCTTGTTCCTCTTTTAATGATTTAATTTCTTTTTTGGATTCTTTGGGCCTTAGATCCCGGTTTCTCTTATGTCTACGGGACGCATTCCCCTATTGAACACCTTTTTTTAATTTATTATTACTTATCAAAAAAAAATTGTGTACCAGTTCGTTTTAATCAAATTTTGTAATGTTGATAAATATGTCACAACATGGACGAATCCATTACATTTATCCCTATTACACTCCACAACCGCAACTTGACACAATGGTCCTCACTACTTAAGCCAGATGAAACTACTCATTTTTTTTTTTTTTTGATAAGTTAGATGAAACTACTCATACTAAGATGAAACAAATTGAAGGTTGAGAAAAGTGGTTTAAAGATTTGCACAACAAATTTTCTAAAAAAGAATGTGACACTTCAGAACAAGAGTGGTAAAGATCCAGAATCAAAGTTAGAAAATGCTTAAAATCTCATAAAAGTGTGTAATTTCATAAATAAAGAAAAATACGATGCAACTCTTACAATCTGGTGAACCTCTTCAGTGGTTGTGGTTAGGACAAAGTTATGACAGATTACTGAGAAGATAGAAACGAAGGTGAGCAAGGGCGAATCCAGGACTTGTCAATGGGTTGGGCTAATATTTCTTTGGGTGGGCTAATAGTAGTAATAAATTTTTTTTTTTTTTTTTTTTGGGCTGGGCTAAAGTTAGGTATAGTAAAAAATAATAATAATTTTTAAGCCCCCCCCCTGGATCCACCAATGGAGGTGAGATAGTGTATAAAGAATTCACACTTTGTGAATTGTGTGTATTAGGCATAATGCTCACCATGATCTTCTTCTCCTTGTCTTTCTTCGTCTCTCTATGAATTGACTTCTTTTCTCTGTGAATTGTGTTCCAATATGTATTTGGGATACTTACCTGTAATCAAATGTGTATTTTGCATATACCAATAAATCAAGATTCACGTGTTGACTGCACTCAAAGAGCCACATATCCATCTCCTCAGTAACATGGTCAAAACACAACTCGTGCCACTTATTGCAATACAGAATACAACTTGAATGCTTGGCTCAGGATCACCCCACAATTATCCCTCAGCTTAAGCCACCAAGTCAAGGAAACCAAAGAAATCCCAGGTGGATTATGATGCAACAGCCATTAGTCACAACGGAATCGCAGGAAACACAACATAGTACATGACCTACATCATGATTGCAAGGATCACAATATGCATCATGCTCATCCTGAGTACTGCCTCCTACTCGTGCAAATGTAGAGTAATTCTTATTGTACAATCTTTAGTTGTAAAGGAAAGGTCAATTTACCTATGCCCTAGATATGCGACTGAGGATGCGAATTTCACACCATGTTCTTCACAATTTTGTGTCTGCCATACCTTCAATTGATGTGCTCCAACGACTCAACACACTTTGATACGTTACAACACGTTTTGAGTAGGAATACGCCAACACACGACTTATATACCCAACAGAACGTTGATTTTAGGAGTGAACAATAATAACAGACAACTCTAATGGATTTAAATTGTAGGCATAAAAATTTATCCGAACCAATTAGGTAATGGAGGAGGGGTAGGGATATATAAAACAAATGTTTAGTATCCAACCACATCAAAAAGAGATTTAAGCCAATGACATATAATGCAAAATTATAATGACTACAAAAGCATAAATAATATTTTAAAGCCTGCGAGATCAGAAAGAAAGAGAAAGATGATGGGATGTGTAAAAATGAAAACCAAGAAAAAATGAAATAAAATATAAGAAACTATTTTTCCTGATAGGTAAGAAACAAGAAACTTACGTATAATGTACAATTCAATTTTCCAATTGTATACAGGTCGGCTCAAATGAGGAATCCTCACTGTTGGATCACCATAAGTTATCTGTAAATAGCAAATGAGTAACAAATTATAAATTAAGGCTTCAAAATTAAAGAGAAAAATTCACAAATATAAAATTTCAAAAGGGATGATTACCAAAATATAGACCCCTCCAGGTTTTAGAAGCCTGAAAAACATAAAGCAATTGTTTCAATGATAAATATTTCAAAAAGGGGGCGAAATAATAAAAGTTTAACCACACACACAATTTTTATCTTCGGCAAGAATCGCAATCTTAAAAAGCTTTAAAAGCTCATGAAGCCTACAACCTGCTCACTTCTCCCAGCATTTGAGCAGCACTAATTGGAGCATCCGTACCACACTTAAGAATCACAAGAATACATTAAAAAAAAAAATTAGAATGTGCCGGAAAATAATCTAGAGATACCAAGAGAACAATCAGAATCACAACTTACCATCAATGAATCAAGAGTTCCTAAATGAGGATCAGCAGATCATGCAAGCAAAATTGATGGCAAAAAAATTATCATCAGCTTATAACACACTAAATCCTTTAATTGAAAATATATATATATACACACACACACACACACATTGCAAATTCTGAGAAATTACATAGTGGACGGACAGAGCCATACCTTTATCAAGGACGCTGTGAAATGATTCATCTGGGAAGAAGCTCATATCCCTAACATCCATTTGCATGTCTACTCAGTTTCATAAGGAAAAATTACAAATAAATGAATGTGATACTTCATAAGAACAATTAAAGATCTCCGAAAAGGAATAAATCAAGTAAATCTTTAGATAGGATACATTTCAGCTGAGGAACGTGCTCGTACTTCCTCCTCATCATTTCTATAGCTACTGATGAAATGTCAATGTTCATTATATCTTCATACCCATCTTTAACCATGTCCTCTGACATAACTACAAAATAGAATATTTTCTCCTCAGAAGCCTTGTCAACAAATACAAATGTTATAGCAAAATGAACATCAAAGTGACTCATCAAAAAAATTGAATGGCAAAGTGACAATGCATATGCTACAGGTCCTTTTGATAAAAAGAAGTATCAAATCACAATAAATTTGGATTTCATTTTTTGGGGGTTAGTGATTTGATTGTATTACTAAAGTTTTTTTTTTTTTTTTTGACAAGTGATTGTCTAAAAATTTCCATTAAGTAGACCATTGAAAAACACCACATGCCCATACTCGAGAAACAAACCAAATTTACTTTCAAAAGTTGTCATTTGTCACATTTTGAACAAGTCTTACATATCCTAATAGGTCAAAGAGATGCTAGAAAGACAACATAAGGAGAGTCAGTGTAAAGTTATTGTATGATTTGTATCATGTGTTGGCGAATTTGTTTACAAAACCATATTGAGTTGTACTTTTTAATTTGTATTGAGTCATGTCCATGATAAGCTCAAGGATCAACTTCAACAAGTAAAGGATGTTGCATTCATCAACTCTCAGTTGAACTATGCATCAAAGGTATGAAAGTGTGTGCGGAAACTTGGGTTGAGATTTTTCTAGCACCTCAACCCAACCCTAATTAAGTTCAGGTTGAGATTTTTCAACCCAGGCCCAACCCATTGTAAAAATGATTGCCCAAACCCGTGAAAAATTGAGTTGGGCTCGGGTTGCCCAACCCAAGTTGCACCCCTAGAATCAATCGAGAGTCTGAGATTGTTGTGGACGACTAGTCTAGAGATCAGAATTGCTATTGAAGAAGCAGAATTCTGAGAAGCAAAGTTTGTTGACGGGGCATGCTGTGTTTGTGCGTGAGTTTGGTGGATCAGTCTATCCTTAACCAAGAGTTCTAGGGTATGTGAACTTTAACCTAATGTAATATCTCTCTCTAAAAGTGGATTTTTTATATGGACCAGATCCCATGATTTTTCTCATTTGGTTTTTCCAGGTAAAAATCCTGGGGCTCATTGTGCATGCTTTATATCCCTTTACTTCTAATCTAATGGTTGTTATGATTATCATGATGCATTGATTAGTATTTAATATTTAGCTTTAATTTAAAAATAAATTTTGGTAAGTTAGTAAAAATTCAAGAGTTGTTAAATTTAGTTTAAACTATTATCAACATCTATTAAACTATTAGCAACATCTATTCATTCCAAATACTGGGGTATCTCTCAAAATGTTTTCAAATTTTTGCATATTATTAAGAGATTTATTAGAGAGACAGCTTTGATAATCAATCTAGATTTTTTTTCAAAGACTACTATACTTGATGTGATTGACAGAATCAAAGCAAGAAGCAAATTGAAACTATCAATTAAAGCATTAACCGGGAAGTTCGTAAGGAACAAGTTGAAAGAACGTCACCACTCATGGAGATCAAAAGTCCAAAGAGATTCAGATTGTGTGAGGAGCGGCCCGAGCGGGACTGTTGATGAATCAGCAACTGGAAGGATGGAGAAGATCTTGCATAAGTCTGAATCAGGAGGGACTACGTGATTCTAGGGATTGTAATCAGGTAACTTGGCTGTAAACCTCTTTATCATCGTGGATTTTGAATTTCTTTTAACTAGATCCCATGAGTTTTATCTTTCTAGATTTTCAAGTAAAAAATGTTGTGTATGCACTTATTTTATTTATTGCTTTATGTGTTTATGTGATTGCTATTGAGACACGAATCAAACTAACTAACTGAATTTTAAATAAGGATTAACAGATATTTGAAAAGTGAGTGAGTTGCAAATCAATATCCATAAGACCTATCCATCCCCTTCTAAGGCTAATTAACCATGCGTACTCTGACATATTAGAGGCTTGGTAACGATCCCATGTTCCACAACTGGTATTAGAGCATATCAGTTGTGGATTTCACAACCACAAAACCCAATCCCTCCTCCTCCCGAAGGACAAGTGCAAGGAATCTTTTAGAAGCATGAGAAGAAAAAATGGAGAAAACATGGAATCGTAATGCATAGTTGAACAAGCAAAATCAGAAGAATGCTGAGGCACTGAACCATTTTCTTCCAAACGAACCTAAGAAACCCCTAACACACACTTCCTCAGATTTTCATTCATGTAACCATGCATCAAATCTCCCACCTAGTGAAAAGTTCTAAAATGCTCTTGGCAGGTCACATGAACCAAGGAAATATCAAAGAGTTCCACAACTCAATTCCAGATCATAAAATCATAATAATTATACAAAGACTTAATTAAGAAAAACCTACCAAGTCTGGCTAAAATTTGCTCAGATATGTGCAAAAAGATTCATTTCTTTTTTTATATATATAACACTAAAATAAGTATTAAAAGATTAAGTAATATACAGTTACAAAATCAAAAACATAATTGATATGATTCATAAATAAATAATTAATTAATTAATTAATTAAAAATACCAACGAAGTTGACAAATTTTAGCATTTTACAATTTGCTGGTGATTAAGGTGTAAGCTATGTTCCCAAAATTTAGAAATGGCTGTTTCTGGGCCTGTTCCAACTTCCAACAATGAAGAAACGGACTTCTCAGTTCATGCTAAAATAAGGCATTTCCGACAGCCCACAGGTTTGATCTCGTATCATGTTGCTGATGTTAGCTGTGATTTGTGAAACACAAAATCCAGCAAGCATGCCCACCTCTTCAATTTTCATAAAATATGTATATGTATGTATATATATATATATATTTGAATTGGTTAACTGTTGCATAAATGTTGGATTTATTACATTTCTATAAAAGATATACAGGAGTGCAGCACATGCACATTGTAATTCTATGTCAGAGATCTGGCCCCTTATTCATTAGTGAATTGACTAGCCTAAGAGTCTCAGACGAAAGTATCCATTTTCTCGTTAATGTTGTACACATAAAATATAGCATCTTTCTTTTTCTTTTCATTATTGCTTTTTGCCTATGTTTCTGTTGATTTTGATTATTATTATTATTATTATTATTATTATTTATTTTTTATTAAATTTTCAACATGGTAATCATCATACCATAAAGTAAATCAAATAAACAAAGAAGACATATTCACCCCCTCTTAAGTCTACATATCACCACACAATATAATCCTAAAACTTCCGCAAGACACCAATTATGAAGTAATAGTACTCAATAAAGCAATGGGTTTATGCATATGGATCATTTTGTCTCAAAAAGAATGTCCCAACTCCAGAAGGTGAAAATCCTCAAATGGCAAACTGTACAATACATCCGCCGTTGTGATTTCCACACTCACAATGAGCCACAAATGGTGAGATCAAAATAGAATATATATCAAACAACCAATTGTACTAGACTTTTCTCCTTATGAAATTGAATATTGATGCCGAAATAAAAATAAAAACCATCTTGCATCTTCAATTGTCCCTTCAAAATGCTAATGTTCAAGCCTTAAATTTATTACTTTTCAAAATTCATCAGTAAAACAAAAACAGCAAGAAAATTAAACTACGACAATTCACCAATGGCCAGTGACCTAGCGGTATCGGCCTCTTACTTCCCAAAGGGAGGTAAGGGATTCAAGTCTTAGAAGAGACATACGTGTATGAGTACTTACTAAAAAAAAGCCGACAATTCTTCATTACCTTAATTTTATACTTATCAACAAGTATAAAATTAAGGTAGTGAAGAGTTGTCTTAGTTAAATTTGATACTTAAATTAAGAAACTAAACAAAGAGAGACACAAAATGAAAAGGGGGAGGGAGAAATGGGAGAAACACCCAAAGAGACTTGTAGTGTTGAGGAGTTTAGGGGGGCAAGAAAGAGAAGGAAATGGAGAACCTTACACCTTGTTCAGATTGGAAGTAATGGAGGGGGTTTATAACCTTCAAATCCCTATTTTAGAGATTGCTTGCTTTACTCCTATCTGTAATAAGAAATAAACATCATTTTATCCTGTCCATTCACGTGATAAAATATTTATCTTCTCTATGTTCTCTACTATTCTTTTCCTTTCCTTTCCTTCCTCTGCTAAGTCCTAACGAATGCTAACCTTCCCAACCATTTTCTCACACTTCTCAAACCAGACTGTAAATGCTCTGTTCAGCTGCTAAGAAACCAGAAGAAGGACAAAGAAAATTTGGTTCATTACATACCAATATATATTTTCGTCATTCTAGTTTCCAAGAAAATCAATATATATATATATATATATATATATCAACTAAGCAGTATCATACATAGTGTTTTGAATTAGTTAAGTTGAGTAGTCAATTTATAAGAGATCTAACAACAGAACAACTAAGACACTTCAATTCCCTTTACATTTTCTTCCAAGAGTTTCCCTAATAACCAAAATATACCTGAAATGTTAACATTGCCACCACTGCCACACCCTACCATTTTCTATTGCCGTGGTTCTCAAAAAATCTATATATCGCAAAAACACTAGATATTTATTTTCCCTTTCACTTCTCCAATTTTCACAGGAACAAACAGAACCCACATTAGAATACATGGGAACTCAAACTAATATGCAAAAAAAAACCCTAAACTTAAAGAATTGTGAACAATTCAATTCAAATCAAATCAAATTAAGAAATATGAAAAGGGGGTTGTTGAGGGAAATTTACCGGCGTTGCCACAACCGACCATGAGGACACTGGAAGAGGGAGGGATGTACTTGCGAACGAAGGGTCGAAGGGCGGAGTATCGCTGATACCAATCGAAGGAACCGCCCTCCTGAATGTAACGGGCGTCCCAGTAGAGGGCGTCGCCGTAGTTGTATGTATTGCATGCCGACACGTCCCTGTACATTGTGAATTGTTAACGCTGATGCTGGGTGGTGGCCCTTTTGGTCTGTGTATGTATTGTGTGTCTTTTTGAATTGTAGAGTAGTTGATTGTGTCGCTGATGTTGGTTTTGAGCTTGGAACTTGCTTGGGAGTGACGAAGTGGGAGTAACCCGTGTCCATCTTTAAGGTTTTCGAAATGGGTGGGTCATCCATTACTGATAATTAAACTCATTCTATTTTTATTCTGATAAATACTAGTTCAACTGTGGAACATAATCCTTCTCAATCGACAGATATTGCTGTCATCGTTCATATTCTTATTCTTATTATTTATGACTTAATTCTGTTACCCTTTTGTTCTCGAATTTACAATAATTTTTACTATCAGTTTATGTGACTTCAGTTAAGCTAAATGATACTATTTTAATGAATTACATTAGTATATCTATAAATCAATAAAATATTTTTCATTCAGTAGCCACTCAGTGTCATTTTTTATAAAGGTCTAAAGTAGTAACTTTACATCTTAGAGGCAAATATCTTAAATTATACTACGTAAATATAATAATTTTAAAATGATTATGCAATAACAATGTTAATGTATTAAATTTTTTATTTAATAATATTATAACATTGCAACACAATATAATATATTATATAAGTGATGTACTAGTATTTGTTTTGCACAGTAATGAAGCTACGTTGCAGCATTGCGCAGGATCGATCTCTTATCCTGAATGGTTTTTAACATGTGTCATGTTGATTGATAAAATGAAAATTTTAAAAATGCTGATGATATTCTATAACATTTATCCTAAGTACACAGGTAGTTAAAAAAATTCACTTACATATGAAGGCAAGTCCCAAATAAATTGCATTAACCTTCTGTTAAATTTATTAAGATTATATTAAATTTTTTGTATTTTTAAAATCGCACCTGACCATGAGGATTACTTAGATAGTCGTTTTCTAACGATGAAATTTTTGTATTATCAGAAATTAATTACAAATAACCATGGCTTGATGATAATATCTTAAAACTTCCAAAACCAAAGATAGCTAGTTCAAGTGTTTGAGTTCTTTGTCAGGACAACAAAAATTAAAAAACTTAATAAATGGTCTTAGATCATGTGGTTCATACCAATTAAATTTCTTTAATTAAGGAAACTAGATTTATCAGAATTTAATAAGAAATCTAAGTATTAGTATTGATTTGATTGGATCATCAAGTGATTTATGATCCTCTTATTATTTAATAATTTTTGCAAAAAGATATTTTAAATAACAATTTTGCCCTTTTACAAAGACATTGTTACCTTCAGACAATGTTAAGTATACAAATGGATTAATTTAGTTAAATATTAGGGAAAAATATATTTAAGTAGATTTAGGAGCCTTAAATAATAAATCACTCTATTTTTAAAGTTAATTTTTCAATTTGGTCAAGTTAGGTAAAATAATTACATGTGCATTAAAAACTATTATTTAGGTCTAAACTACCCTTTAAATTCTTATTTCAAAATACCAAAATATCCTTCATAAATCAAATAATTCTTTCATTCATAAAATTTAGAAAAACAAGATTTCTAAGTTAACTTTCAACTTGGCATTTTTGTATATGGTGTATATATTACCAAAATAAATAAAATAAAAGACAACATAAATATATTATATATATATATATATATATATATATATATATATTATAAATTTTGTGCAAAAAAATTTAACGATATCTCCTATTCCGTATGGTTCAAACCTACAAATATCAATTTAGAAATATACAAATAATTTAGTGAAAATTTATTATGCATAGATTTTTTTTTTTCACTAAGTGGAAATTCATCCTATATACATATATATATATATAAATTTATTTGCACATAACTTTAATCATATATATATGTACACAGTACCCACACATGAGAAAGGCGGTCGCCTAGGGCCTCAACATTTAGAGGGCCTCAAAATTTTTAGGTCCATAAATGATATGTTTAAAAAACCAAAAAAAAATAATAATAATAATAAAAAAAAAAAAAAAAACACAACATTTTAGAGTCGTTCGATTAAATGAATTCACAACCCATTCAATATTAGAGCCCTTAAAAACTTGGTGATTAAATTCGAAATTGAATATGACCTTTTACTACTTTATGCGTATGTTAGTGTGCATTTCAGTAATTAAAAGACTTCATATTTAAGTTCACCTAGGGCCTCTCAAGATTTTGTCAATCTCAGGGCCAACCCTGAAAAAACTAAACCATTGCTTCAGTAAAGGGTGCACTACCTTTTTTGTTATTTTTTGTTTTTTTTTATTTATAAAACAAGTGGAATTAATTGAGTCAAAAAATTAATGATCATCTCAAGGCATGCAACACAGTAAAGACTATTTAAATTTTTTGAGTTGAATTATATTTTTCTTTTTGGGGACTAACCTTTGATTGCCCCATTTTTTTACTATATTGAATCTTTTTTATTATTTGTATAAGATATCGTGTGTGTGTGTGTATGAAAGTTGTAGCAATATGGTTTAAAGTTAAAGGAAATAAATTATTTAAAGAAATTACTTGATTTTAGGGAAATAATTTTTAGTATTTTAGAATAAGTGTTTGGAGGGCATTTTGGACCTAAATAATAGTTATTGATGCATATGTAATTATTTTACTTAATTCAATCAAAGTGAAAAATGAACTTTTAAAATAGACCATTTTGATATTTAAGGCTCCTAACTCTATGTAAGTGTAGTCTTCCTATTAAAATATCTATTTAATTTGGAAATTTTCTAAAGGCATAAAGTGCAAATAAAAATAAAAATAAAAACTGAATGTGCCAAAAACCCCAGTGTTCAAAAAATTCCCTTATATTTTTCAAATTGAGTAAATGAGGATATTTCTCAATTTGAAGACTAAAATATCTAAAATGCCCTTAAAAGCAAAATAAAATTTTAAAAACACTTTTATGCACAAATTTTATTAAGGGATTTAGGGGTTTTTATAAATATAAAAAAAAAATGGTCAAAATTAATGATCATGGTGCAATTTGCACAAATTTTCAAATGTACATACTAAACTGCATGGGTGTTTTTCTACACATTTTTTATATAATGGGTTTTTTCAAAAACACTTTAACTTTTTAAAATCTACAAATTAACATACATATTACAATTTCATTAAATTATATAATGTTTAAAAAAAATTTGAGTTTTCAAATTGTTAATTTAAAGCAATTCTACTTTAAGAATAAATTTCAATAGCAATTCATTCCCCGAACATTCAATCCCCACAAAGCTAAAAGCTTCAAGTCTACATGGATTTCATATACTTTACAGTTAGGATTCCTATACAACGATTATTTTTGTATGATCGGTATATTATCTCTTTCCAATATATATGTAGACAATGCATTTTTTTTTTTTTTTTTTTTTCAGGGAATGTTTTAATAAAGTTTTCAACCCTTCATAAAGATGATGTTGTCACAGTTGTCACAACTTATTACATGTTTTAAGATCGATAACATTGTCTTCAAATCGAGTAGGTCTCTATTTTCATCTCTGTCTATATGTGTGCGTTGATATGTATTATATAAATTTATTTACGTTGATTTACAATGTTGGTTATTATTTTCAGGTTTAAATTATACAAACAACTTCAATTTATTGATCAAGTTAGACCTTGATAAGGAGTCTTAAGAGTTCAAGCAATACAGAACTAGAAGTTGAATATACTACGATCAACTAATACGATCAGAAGGATAATAAATAATTCTCTAATACTAATGTTTGTTATTCTTTTCAATTAAAAATCACTCGCAATAGCATGAGTTTTTGTAGGATATAGTTACATAAAGGGTGTCGAACTACTAGGTTAGTGAACTTTATGGCCATTAATTTTGCAAGATTAATTCTGGTTTAATTCGAGAATGGTTGAATGTTAATTGTTGAGTAATCTAAATTACTTGAAATTAAATACAAGACTTGAAATTAAATGATTAAGTTTTCAAATGGAGAGATAGCTAGGGAACTGACTTCATCATCCCCTCATAACCATGGCCGATTTCGTTTATGATGGGGAAAACTATAAGATGCATAGCAATAATTCGTATGACTTACCCTCACAACGGAATCATCAAGAAAGTAAATGGGCATGTAATTCAAGAATTAAGCATAGTTCATCTTTGGTTAGCATAAATTGTCCACCTAACTAAGGTAGACTAACATATAGTACAACTTGTCTTCTCTAAGTATGATATATCAAAATTCTTGCTTTGTATGTCATGCAAATAATTGTATAACTCATCATTCTCATTGTCATCATGAAAATGAACAAAGTTCCCTTATAATAAAAGCTTTCTAAGACAAGAAGAGGTTTTCATCATAAAAGATTTTGCACATTAAAATTCATTACAAGATACTTAGAACTTGTAAACATCAAAGTTATACAATAACTATACAAATACATCATTTTCCCCAAAATATTAACAAAGATCAAACCATAATTACCTGGAGGTGGCTACATCAACTCCATAGGAAGAGAGTTAGCTTCTTATTTGCATGGTTGAAGCCTCCATTGAAGCTGAAAACTTCCTCTTTTCGAGCTTCATTTCTGCCCTTCTCTTGCTCTCTTAATATTTCTCTCTCTGGACAAGGTTGTTAAAATTGGGATTTTACATAGAATCGTTTTGAGCTCCGTAGAATTGGAATCGTAAAATCGGATCGTGAATCGTAAGATTCTACCGAATTGTGAAAAAACAATTGAAACTAACTTCTTAAACAATAATATCTGTAAAATATAACAAAAATAAAGCCAAAACACACATACACACACAAAAATGTACATAAGTACCATTCCAAAGTCCGAATATAAATAAAAGAGAATGTAGCTCAAAATAACACGAGTTCACAAATCTCAAATCCTAACTCATCCATCTCCAAAGTTACAAACTAAAATTACATATCCATAAAGTCTTCATCGAACTCATCACCATCAGCATCATCATCACCATCTTCCTCATTAGCACCAGCAATAAGATTTAATGGATCCACGTCTTCATTGTCATCAATTGCATAAATTTCCTTAACTATAAAGCATAAAGAAAGAAAGAAAATTAATATAATTTAATAATTTATACAATATTATAATAAAAGTTTAAAGTTTAAGTTCTTACGTGTCCTAGTCACCCTTTCCACTTCATCTTCATCGGTATCACCTTCTTGAACTTTGTCATCAAGAACCCTCAACCATTTAGTTTTTGTTGGAAGAATCGGATCCTCTTTTTTGGTAATCCATTCATCATCAGAAGAAACATCCTCAAAACAAATTAATTGGTTCTATGACGGCTTGTCTTTTCACGTGCCTCTCCCTCAATTTTATATTATATATAACAAATACCAAATCATTCAGTTTCTTTTGTTGCTTCCGATTTCTCCTTTTTGAATGCACCTAAACATATTGCCAATAAGGTTAAAACTTAAAACTAAACTACAACATTATTAAAATTTTAGAACTATGTATTATTCGGTAATTTACCATCTCAAAGGCACGCCAGTTCCTTTCACATCCCAAAGAGCTACATGTTAAACTCAATATTCTAATTGCAAACCGCTTTAATTTAGGGCACACATTACCATATGAATCCCACCAATCAGCTGTTATATTAAAAAAAGTTATAACATTAAAGTTCAAATTGTTTAATTTTCAATTGAAATTTGAATTATGAAATATCAATATTGCATTTTCTAACTTGGAGACTTCTTGTTCCTTGTCAATATTGCATTTTCTATGCTAAAAAGTCCACTTGCAACTTTGAATGCATCAATTTGGCAATCAATTTTTACTCTCTCATTAGATTCAGGAACCATTCCTTGGAGACATTTATAAACCCCTATTTTCACCTCTGTATCTAAATGGAAAACTTGGACTATACTGGAGTTGGGGATTCAGAAAATATGTTGTCACGTGCAAGGGTTGATGAAGTTAAGATGCCCATCTTTCATCAATGATCTTCCAAATAGGTTCATACCTACAAAATCGTTAATTTAATGTAAGTCTAGTAATTTTCAGTTTAACTATTTAAAAACAATACTATATTCTAAACAATAAAGAACTTTATTACTCTTTTAATTTTTAAATAAATTAAAACTTTACCACTTTTTGATGTTATTGAAGTTTTTTTGAATTTCCTCCTTGGCACGATCCATTGCTTCATAAATGAATACCATAGCTGGTCTCTCATCAGAATCCACCAATCGGAGTACTTTAACAAGAGGTATTGCAGCTCTTAGACAACTAACAAAATTTATCCAGAAGTTACGATTGTCTAAAGCCACGCCTTCAATTCTTTTTTTATGTGTCCTTGCAAACTTACTAGACTTCCACTTAAAGGATGTAAAAAGATTCTTCAATTCTCCTTTTAGTTGATTAAGGCGCTGCAAAGTTAAGTAAGAAGTGGCAAATCGCTTCACTGCAGGTCTAATAAGCTCCTTTGCCATTTGTGAATTCATTCATCCAATGGTTAAGCATACACCTCGAATAAATGTATGAAACAATCATCCTTCCCTTTTCAATTGTCACATGGTGCATCTTAATATTTTTCTTAAAATCCTCCAACATCAAATCAATGCAATAAGCAGCACAAGGTGTCCAAAATAACTTTTTCCTCTTTTCCATCAACATCTCTCTAGCCAATTTGTAGTTAGAAGCATTATCAATCATAACTTGTACAACATTTTCTTCTCCAACTTTTTTCACAATTTCATCTAACATTTCAAAAACCATTTGGCTAGTTTTTGAAATATCGGAAGTATCTCGAGATGACAAAAAGATAGTTCCCGATAGGCTATTGACAAGAAAATTACATATTGAACGTCTCCTCCTGTCAGACCACCCATCTGACATAATAGTACATCGAGTCGTCACCCATTCTTCTCTAAAATTCTCAAGTATATTCAATGTTTCACGCACTTCCTTCTTCAATAATGTCTCTCTAATTTCATGATAAGAATGAGGAATGAGCCCTCTCCCATACTTTCCAATCCATTAATGATAAGAGGAAATATGGGATTATTTACACAATTGAATGGTATAGCACTTGTATAAAATAAAAATAAAAAATCGGGCTATGATTTGACATATGACATTTCTCTCATCCTTTTTAAATTTCTCATTCATTGTTGTTTGCCGGGCCGAACTCTTTGTTACAAATCTATCCAGTACACCACATTGTTTCTGCTTCTTTGATTGTTCTAAGGCTATGCATTCACTATCATCATCATTGATATCAACATCATATAATTTTTTCTCTCTTCTTTTCACTTTCCTTTGAATGAGCTTGAAGAAGTTTTGGAAATTATTTTTCACGTCTTCGGCCACTTGTGGACACGGCTCAACTTTTAAATGAGTGCCAGCCAAGTGATGTTTATGCCTAAAAATACCCCCATAATGAGAAGTGTCGTAATACTGACACTTCACTTTTTTGAAATCCCATCCTCAACCCCATGTTCCCATCCCGGATCTAATCTTTGTCCCAAAGCATTTTTTCTCATACTTTTACTAGAACTTTTAGCTGATAACATCTATTACAATATTCATATAATTCAAGTTATTCAACCAATCAAAAGTTTTGCATTCAGCACTCAACAAATTGAAACAGAAACTAAAAAAAAAAAAAACAAACAGAACGTAAACAAATCAGGATTGCTTCACAAAAGCATAAGGCATAAATTAAATTGTAATAATGTGTACTATTTTCTTTCTATTTACTTGTAAGTTGTAACAGCCAAGGCTCCATATCAAATTAAAAATATTGACACTAAACACAAGTTTCAAATTTTAATTAGATATGTGATACACTTGATCACCAAGCCCAGGAAAATCCCTAAATTAGCATGCATAAACAAATACACACAAGACCCCCCAAACAGCCCCCAAATTAAACACATACAACCAGTGTTGTTAAAAGTGTGCCTGGGCGTGTGCTTAGGCGTGAGGCGCACACAGGCACACCTTCAGCGCCTGTAATTCCCCCAGGCGTAGCGACCTTTAATAGGCGTGCGCCTTGTCTACGCCTTGGGGCTTTTATAAGGTGCACATGTATTATAAGGTGCTATTTCCTTTTATATATTTTACGTGTTTGCTTTTATAGTTTATATATTAGTATATACTTACAGGCTTTTGGAAACTAAAAGCAAAAAATGGTAATTTGGTCTTCTTCTGAGGCAACCCAATGGTCCCAATAGTCAACAAATCAATCAAGCAAAAGCTGCAGAAGAAAGAAAGATGTGAGGGAGTAGGAAAGAGAAGATAGAGAAAGAAAGAAAGAGAAGAAAGGGTTATCAGTTGCCTCTTTCTGATGAAGATGAAGCCAGGAACAAGCCTACCAGGTCAATTAAGTTTTTTTTCCTCCTTTCCCTCTTCTCTCTCTCTTCATTTCTTTCTTCTCTCTCTCTCATATATATATATATATATATTTTCTTCTGGGTCTCTGGTTTTTTTTTTAATTCTTCTTTCTTTTTCTTCATCTTCTGCTCTCCCGTCTGTCTCTCTGTATTTCTTCCTTTTACTCATGAAAAGTGTTATATTTATTTATTTTTATTATGATTATTTTTTTCAATCTCTATTTTTTTCTCGTACAACAGTGTTTTCTTTCTTTATTTCTTTTCTTCATGACTTCATCTACTTCTTCTAGGGCCTCTATTTTATTTTTTTTCCTTCATCTACTTCTCTATGAGTCTTTCTCTCTATTTCTCTCTATGAACAATTTATTTTTTTCAATCTCTGTTTGGGGGCTCAGGGCTCTGTTTTTTTTTTTTTTCTCTGCTTCCCCCTTTGTGAACAATTTTTTTTTTTTTTTTCAATCTCTGTTTGGGGGCTCAAGGCTCCTTTTTTTTTTTTTTTTTTCCTTTCTTTCTTTTTTTTCTTCATCTATTTGTTCTTATCTCTGTTTTTTTTTTTTTCAATCTCTGTTTGATGTCCTTCTGACTTTTTCTTCCTCTAATCTCTATCTCTCATTTTTTTTTCTTCCCTTCTTCTTTGAAGGTTGTCTTATTGGTTAACATTCCTTCTGAGTTGTTTGCAGATTTTTTTTTTCTCCCTTCTTCTTTGAAGGCTATCTGTCTCTTTTTCTTTTTCTTTTTTTTGTTGTTGTTGTTGTTGTTGTGTTCTGTTTTTTCTTCTTTTGAATGCAGTTTGTTGAATTTTGTTGCATGTTGTTTGCTGAATTTTGCTAGATTATTTAAATTTTGAATGCATATTTCTGAATGTTGTTTGCTGAAAAGCCTGAATGTTGTTTGTTGAATGCTGTTGCTAAATTTAACTTGGTCCATTGACTCCATTCTATTTCTCATTGTAAATAGATAGGAAAAAATGTCAAAAGATCCAGCTTGGAATTATTGCCACCTGCAAAACCCACAAGATAGGATTGCAACAACGTGTAATTTTTGTAAAAAAAGTTATGAAATGAGGTATTTATAGGGCTAATCAACACATTGTAGGAGGACATAGAAATGTACAAGTTGAAAAAAGTGCCCTGAACGTGTGAAAGAATAGATTAGAGAATACATGAGCAAGAAGAAAAAAGAAAATGAATACACAAATTTGTTGCCTGATTTTGATGACATGGATGATCAAGATGAGGATTATGTTGCATTTATTGATGTTAAGGGTAAAAGAGTGGCAAGTGGAACTGGAAGCAATAATATTCAATTAAAAAAACAAAAATAGAAAGGTCCATTGATTTGTACTTCACCCCTCCTCCGGAAGTAGCTATGTAAAATAGAAAAAATGACAAGGATAAGCAAACAACAATTGATAATGCCTGCAAGAAAGAACTTAGAAACCGAGCATGCCAACGGTTTACAAGATGGATGTATGATACTGGGATATCATTCAATGCCCTTAATTATGATAGTTTTGCACTAGTTGTTGAAGCTATTGGCCAACATGGTCCAAGAATGAAACCTCCTTCTTATCATGAGGTGAAAGTTCCCTCCTTAAAAAAGAACTGGAGTATACAGACAATTTAATACAGGATTATAGCAAGGAATGGGCAAAATATGGATGCACAATTATGGCAGATGGATGGAAGGATAAAAGACAGAGGTATTTGTGATAGGCGTGTATTTATGGACTTGTCGTTGTCAAATATACTCCATATCAAGATTAAATATTTATAACCATTTAACTAAAAATGTCTAATGGTAATTAGGGTCGAACCACGCATTCAAGTGAGTTTCTATTTTTGAACAAGAGTTTTTAAAAACATTAATTTTGAGGTTTGTCATGAATGATTGAAATAAAATGAGAATCAACAAGAAATGAAAGCATGTAAATTAAACTAACTTACTTGAATTTAAATGAGAATAAAACTTGTGAAAATAACTTGCATTAAATTAGAGAAGATTTTAAGAAAAATTATATAAGGAATTAAACTCTCAATGAAAAGTACATCTCTAACTATCTAACTCCCCTCTCTCTGCCTCCTAAGCATGCAATTTATAGTCAAATGAAATAACCCACTTGTAGGCTATGATGATGGTTTTGCCCAAATTTCTTCTTCATTTCATCACGCTACTTCTCTGCTACTTTTATTGTTGACTTTCCTTCCTTACCCACTTTCTAACTTTTTCTAATTCTCATTTCTTCTTTATCTCTCCTCCTTTTCTAACTCATCATCATTCTCTTTTTCTTTTCTTTTCTTCTTTCTCTCTCCTCCTTTTCTAATTCTTCCTTCAATATATATATATATTTTGCTAATGATGATGTGGCACGCTGACTAGATAGAGGACCAAAAAGACAATGCTTCTCGTCTCTGGAAGGATTCAAACTTGGGAACTTATGAAAGACATTTGAACACAATTCCATCTCAACTACAATGCTCCTTGTGTTTTCTTTTGCTTAGTAAAACATATAACCTTTTGTGCTGCAACAACAGATTGTCATTTGTTCTCCATTTTTGCTTACATTATTCCCATTCATGCATTAACACTTACAAAACACAAAACAAGCATATAAGAATATTTAAATAATATAAAACTCTAATTAAAAGCTTATTTTGGTGCATGAAATAATAGGTTTTGTATACTTATCAATTTGATTAATTTTTTGGTGAATTGTCCTAAAGGGACAATGTTCATTAAATCTGTTGATGTTTCCTCTTATTCAAAGACTGGTGAAAAAATGTTTGACTTGCTGAACAAGTTCGTGCAGCAAATTGGAGCAACAAATATGATTCATGTATTTTTTGACTTGCTTAACAAGTTCTTAACTCTTTATAATGGACTGTAATTTCTAAAGGGACTGCTTCTGTTATTTGGAAATCTATGGTGGACATTAAAGACATTATGAAAGCTAATGTTTCTTATCAGATTGGGAATAGGAAATTGGTATAACTATTTTTTGATCCCTGGTGTCTTGGTCAAACTCTTACTCAGAAATTTGGCCATAGGATGGCTAGAAGATTGTCTTTGGAATTGCATAGTAGGGTCGATGTTTT